TACTTATTTGCCTGATTTAGTACACTGGATGGAGTAAGTCAATGACAGAGAACATGCTAGTGATGCCCCACATGCTACTGATAGTCTTCATGCTAACATTAGCATTTTGGCTAATTTTAGCTTATCCATTAATTTTAACATACTGAATGGTACAGCTTAGTCTACATGCTTCTGACTCTCCACAGGTTATTGACTACACTGCAGCTTTCTTTAGCATTAATGCTAATTTTTAGGATCAGAATGCTGGGTCTAAACCAACGGGCACACTTTGGCATGCCCCGGTTAAATTTCTTCAGGAATTTTCTAGTTGGGGCCTGCCCATAGCAATACATAGGCAAAGCAGTGACTGACAGTCACTGCCTCCAAGCATTGCATGGCAGGCACCTATTGTTCTACACCCAATAGAATGTCTCTTTAATTGGGGCTTGCCATAAGCATTACATAGGGAAGTGCCTTCCATGTAATGCATGGAAGGCACTTTAATACAGAGGGCAGAGCAGAAGGTCAGAACTACAACATGGTGGAACACTTTAATACAGAGGGCAGAGCAGAAGGTCAGAACTACAACATGGTGGAACACTCAATTATTACAGAGGAGGGCTGAGCTGGCATTTAGAACTACTTGCTGTTTTGGGCATTATATAGTTGGATTCACCAAACCACTGTTACACATTGGATTAGTGTGGTTATGAAAATGAAGTTTACTGAAAGTTTCAAAATAAAAGGCTGCATATTCCTCTCACGTCAGTGCACTGCCGTAGGCAGTGCAATAATATTGATCTTTTTTTATGTGTTTTTTTCCTCAGGATAGTGAACTGTGTTGCGCAGCAAGGCAGTTCACTATCCTAGAACTATCCAGTTCACTATCCTAGAACAAACATTAGCATTTCCTGGGTGTCTGATGAAGATAGAAATCCTTCTCCACCTTTCTGTCTCACACACAGGGCAGTTGGCTGAGGATTAATCGCTATAGCAACAGAATGCAGAGAAAGGCAGATCATCTGGTTTGGACTACAAACCAGCAGCCATAACTGCCAAAGCTGTAGTTCTATCTATGGCCAAGACTCAGTTAAAAGAGGCCTGAGCAGCATGTCAGAACAACATGGCGGAACTGTCAGTTACTATAGAGGAGGACTTAGCTGGTATTCTGAACTACTTGTGCTTTGAGCATTATATAACTGATTTAACCCAATCACTATTACACATGGAATTAGTGTGGCCATTTCAAATGAAGCTTACTGAAAAAATTCAAAATAAAAGACTTGACAATTTTTACAT